GATAGATTTCCCCGCGGACGCTAATCACGCGTCCAGGTACCAGTTGCGAGCTCATGGGATGGTTCGCATCGTTTCCCGATCGATCGATTGATCGATCGATTGATTGGCGTGTCCGCCTTTCGCGCGTCCTCCTTTCGCTCACGATTAAAAGAGACATTAGTACTTTTCGTGTTCGATGATTTTTTGCCTGAAAAATTTCAATTGAGAAATTTAATTCGGAGATAGGGCGCCTTCAGCTTCCAACGAATTATTTGAAAGAGTTTTTCTCCCGCGCACAGTTCTTCGGGCAGCCTTTGGAGCTTTCAGAAACACGTATATAAAGCATGAGATGCATAATTCGCGCCTCAAACGTATCGCACCGGTATAATCCGCAGTCCAATTAACGATAATTACGACCTGAATTGGGAATTCCTAATGGTGGACATCCCCGTTGGTCTATTCGTTCGTATACCGTGATTTTTGCAGACAGCGTAATTCGAGGCTCAAATTAAACTCGTCCTTTTCGCTTATAATGATCAGTTCATTTAAGTAACTGGAGGGATCTTTTTTGTCGCTTCTTTTTGCCCGATGTTTCGCCGGTTTTTAGAATTTTTTCCCAGCTGCAATCACGAAAAACGGGTATTTTTTTTCGCATCTCGCTATAAAATTCCAGCTAATTTTCCGCTTCGACGTTATTCGCCCCCCTACTATTTCGAGTTATCCTCGTTGTTGCGGGAGATGAACGTATAAATTGATTTCGAGCATTGGTTTACAATCTATATCTTGTTGGCATCAGCGTTAAACCTACTAACAATGATCGTTTCGTTCAATGCTATGAATAATTCTCCCCTACTCGCGTGTATTACATGATTGATGTTAAACGAGCTATTCCCTTAATTATTTCCTGCGATATATTTGCTTAAGAATATTCTTTTTCTTTATAAAAAGTTTCTTTCCTTCTTTATACAATTTTATCTTCTAATAATATGAATAAAAATTATGGATATATAAATTTCGCATATAATAAATCTCCTGTTTTCGTGCTCAAAAATATCAATACATGTAATAAAATGTAATTAATTGTATGATATTTGTTACATGTTTACGATAGTGATACCTGAAAATTGCGAATAAATTTTTACTACTTTTACACGCGAGTTATTCAGAGAGATATTAAATTATTAATGTATCGATTTAACAATATCATTTTCTCTGGCTAAGTAAAACGACCGACGAAACTGTTACTCTGGCAAAAACATGCCATCCAAACTAATTCAGGAAATTACACCAGTTCGCGACACGACGCAGTCGTGGAAACTATCGCCATTCGGACGGTGTTGTAGATGCACTTGGGAATACCCGAGAACACTATCGCACAGCTTAATAATTTACTTATTAATTATTAATCTCAATTTGTCTACAACGCGTGTGTGAGGCAATTACGGAAATTACATTGTATCTCGTTTGCATTGGATCGAACAAATTATTAAAATTACTTTGTTCTTTCTCACAAACACACGTAGAATGCTACAGTATTTTCTCTTTCATGTTTCTTTTATTGTGTTAACGATAAAGAGATATATTATTATCTTCTTTTAGCATCACGACAACAGCTAGTTTTTAAGTTAAATCAAAATCTTTCAGACTACACAATTTTGATCAACACACGCACACATAAATCGAAATATAAATTATTAAATAATGTAGAAACAAGACAAACGTGGATAAATTTTAAATAAATTTAAAAAATGTACATTTTTTCGATGAAATCTATTAATTTTTATAATCACAAAGCATCTTTTATTTACATATTTAAACTTTGCTGAAAGATAAGAGATGAAATTTCATATTTAATAATTTTATATTAAGCAAAAATATGAAAACAGGTGGAAATTGATGTTAAACGAGCTATTCCCTTAATTATTTCCTGCGATATATTTGCTTAAGAATATTCTTCTTCTTTATAAAAAGTTTCTTTCCTTCTTTATAAAATTTCCTGGACGAATAAGGTCATTTGCAGACATTACAACAGCTTAGTCGACGGGTGGCAAAGGGATGCGTGAGAACGGTTTGCAGGCAGTGATTTAAAGGCTCTATCGAGCGATGATGCCTTAAGATTACTTACTCTGGAACATAATTTCCCGGCTCCCGGCTGCGTCTTCATGCCGTAATTTACGGAAACATGCTGGCAATATGTTGGGAATGTCGCTTGTCTTGATAAAGCATGCACGTGAGAAAATTTACTTTATTCAGAGTATGATAATGATTGCTTGTGATTCGCGAATCTTTAAATTATCTTCGCAAATAAATTAAAAATTAAATGTTCTTATTAATTTTTTAAATATATATATATATATATATATATATATAAATATATAATATATATACATATAAAAATATAAAAATGCATAATATATATAATAAATATATATAAAAATATAAAAATATATAATATATATATATATATATATAAAAATTTACTTTATTCAGAATACGATAATGATTGCTTGTGATTCGCGAATCTTTAAATTATCTTCGCAAATAAATTAAAAATTAAATGTTCTTATTAATTTTTTAAATATATATATATATATATATATATATATTTAAAAAATTAATAAGAACATTTAATTTTTAATTTAATAAGAACATTTAATTTTTAATTTATTATTGCTTCGCAAATAAATTAAAAATTAAATGTTCTTATTAATTTTTTAAATATATATATATATATATATATATATATATTTAAAAAATTAATAAGAACATTTAATTTTTAATTTATTTGCGAAGATAATTTAAAGATTCGCGAATGACAAGCAATCATTATCATATTCTGAATAAAGTAAATTATATATATATATATATATATATATATATATATATATATAATTTACTTTATTCAGAGTATGATAATGATTGCTTGTGATTCGCGAATCTTTAAATTATCTTCGCAAATAAATTAAAAATTAAATGTTCTTATTAATTTTTTAAATATATATATATATATATATATATATTTAAAAATTAATAAGAACATTTAATTTTTAATTTATAAATATACATTAAATATATATATATATATATAGCTTTTTATATATAGCTATTTTTAATTTATAAATATACATTAAATATATATATATATATATATATATATATATATATATATATATAGCTTTTAATGTATATTATTTAACTTCTGTTAATAAGTACGGGAAGTGTTTGAGAAATATCAGATACATTTTTTAATAATTCCGTTTTTTCTTACTTTTTCTCCCTTTGACTTCCTTGTAAAATTATCCCATTGTTAATAATCTCTCTATTAATGAAGATCATCTGCGTAATCTCGAATTACAGATCAAATTAGGGATCACAACGAAACGTTAGACGCAATCTATGCCTCGAGCGGACTCCTTTTTTGATTAGGTAAACTTAATACGTCGGTCCTAACATTCCGGACCTTTTGCTAGGTATCAAGTTGCACGATTCGCAATTATGTATTCATCGCGATACCATGCGTTATTCAGTGCGATATTGAATATCGCGCTGCCAAACAAAACATTGCGGAATATCGGGATTTCCTCGAGTAATTGGAAGGCTTGTTACCGAAACTATTACCGCGATCGCATTATAATTACACTCTCTGTGCTCAGCGCTGCGTTACAGGTTTATCATAATTTCCTATACACCGTAAATAGGAAACCTGTTAATTGAACCTGACCGTTATTAACTTGCGGTACTACTAACTCTACGTTCACGACACCTTAATTATCTGTTGTTTACTTAGCACAAAGAGAGTCTCGGGGCATATGTTATATTTGGAAAATCTAATCGCAGTAGAGCAACTCTCTCGTTATGATGATTATGATGACTAAGAATGATGTAAAAGATATATTTTGTGTTTAGATATATTTTTTATTTAGATTTCTCATTTCGTGTTCTCATATAACTCTTTTATCTTTAATTTTTTTAATATTATAGAGAGCTCTCTTGGTTTTAGAAAATGTCCCTAGAGAGAAAGTTTCTCTTTGAATCTCTGAAATATTTTATTTCACAAATTGTTGATACTATAGTATTTCTTGGATAATATTAAATTGTATGTAGATATACTTTTTATATAATTTGATAGCTTTTTATGTTTATTAAAGACTTAAAATCAAATGCACTAATTTTGACTTCATACAATGTTTCACAGATTCTTAGGATCGCGATTTTCCGATATCATATTTTTATCCCTATAAATCCTTAATTTTATGTCAATTCTTTTTATCAAACTTTTTACAGAAAAGTCTAGTCATATATTATATAAAGCTTTTTTCTGTTTTTTTAATAAACAATTCGGCCATGTTTATTCCAACTTGGACAAATTAATGGTTCACCTGGGATGTTAGAGATACCAAAGAAAAACAGACATCGAATATACGGTGTTAGTCGAAAAAGATTGGGGCGATAGAACAGCGTATCGAACTTTTGGCAACTTGTAACTATCGACCAGTTAAAGCTGGATGACATCCAGCCTCGACAACCGAGGGATACGAAAGATTCTTGATGAGATCCTCGAATCTCCGAGGACTTCACTCTTTCCCCTTCGAACGTCTCTACCATATCGAAACTGTCATCAATGGTGCAAACTCCGCGACCATTCATGTCTACCATAGAGTTTCTTGTTGATAACTATATTATGATAACCCGCATGTGGAACTCTTCATTCACTTACTGCGAAAAAATGCGATTCAATGACTTTTGTATATCTTTTTCTCTTATGTATACAGCAGAATATGCAAATTTTGTCAATTGAAACGGGAATTTTGATAAATTAGTCTGCCAATAACCGAAGCAAATTTTCTATTGCGAAATAAACTGTCCGACAAAAAGCTATAAATAGCCATAATCCACGAAATATTTTAATGTGGAAAATAACTCTATTATTTTCAATTAGTTAAATAATCAACTAATCTAATATTCTCCAAATATTTAATTAACTATATAATTTTTAATTTTATGTTAATTTTTTGTTACAGGATGTTGCTTCGTAACTTTTTATACTAGAAAAGCAGCTTTGGCAGCGCAGAATGCTCTTCATAACGTCAAAACCTTTAGTGGGGTAAGTGAATTATTTATAATCGCTCTCAAATTTGAATGTAATAAATTTAATATTAGTTATTTAAAGTTTTAATAATTTAAAAAAAGTATATATAAATACATATATATAGTGTCAGTTTTGAAAAATCAATTCTTATGTTTTTTTTTTAAATTAATTTCTTAAAATTGGCAATATATATAAATATACATACATGCATTTTTATAATTATTAAAATTTTAAACAACTAATATAAATTTATTACGAGTAAGCAAAAATTGAGGTGATTATCTATAAAACAGCAATAAAATTGAAAGGATTATTTTTAGAACGTAATCACATGACATTGTACAGACATTAGAGCGAAGGCTTCAAAACGAATATTTTTCGAACGGAGCCTAAGTTTAGTCATCTCTGGATCACAAATCACGACTGTTGCTCTTGTATCAGCATATGTTACTGCTGATAGAAATGTTTGGATAGCTTCGGCATATGTCGGGAACTGAATCAATCGCCAAAACGTATCCGTTTAGCCGAATAATGAATGTTTATGCTGATAATTATCCGAGTGACAATGATTGACGGAATAATGAATATTAATACGGTTGATCGCTCAAATAAATTATTCAGATCAACATAATAGCCCAGCGAATCTTCGAGTAATCATCAATATAAGTTGACAACCTGCTGCAAATGATGTCTACTTATTGATCAAAACTATGTGTCTTTCAAATAATTGATTCCTTTTTTAATTACCGATAAAATACTACAATCATTTCGATATTTAGAATTTTTTTTTTAAATTAAGAGATGTTAAGGCTTTTAATCTTTACGTTAAAAAATGCAAAATTATGTTTTTAATGCTAAAATATATAATCGTCATTCTTTCCTTAATTTACATTGATTTGATAAGCGATAAAAACAAGTAGAATTGTAAAAGAAATTAAAATAGATATTAATTAAAATAGATACATGTAAATTTACATTATTTTTGTACGTAAATAATCGTGATTATCATTCTTATAATTTGAGATGCTAAAAATATTTATTAATATTGCAAAATTCGTAAAGAGAGAGGTAAAATTTAGAAATTTAAAAAGTGTAACTAAAATATGTGCATTTATTAATTCTAAAATAAATGCTGATATTTAACAAAAGAGTCGGGGATTAAAAAAAAAGGCGGTTATAAAAGGAAAGTATACACAAGAGAATCGTGGCGTATACACAAATGAAGAGAATTAAACGATCTTCTTGTCAGCGCTAATTGATTTAATTGGAGCAGAGATTAGAGAAAATTTCAAATGACGCACTTTTAAGCATCTCTTTCTCTTCCTCTCTCTTTTATTTTCTGTCCCTTGAATATCCGAAGCCGGGATTCCATTATGAAGCCCTCGATCCTCTTTTCGATTCGAGATAACGCCGTCCCCGTCCGTCTGGAAAAATATTCCGTCGGAAAAGCGGCTTTCCTTTCTTCAGGTTTGGCGTCCCGTCGATTACAGGCGGCCAGGGCCTGAAGATATCGTTGGAAGTGAGCTCGTACGATAATTACAGTTTCCCTGGAAACTTTCGATGCAATTACGAGACGTCATTACGAGTATTTAACCAAGCAGGCTCGGCTATTCCGCCCTTCTTCCTTCCTTCTCCCTCTTCTGGGCTCGTATCTACCTCTCATACGCGCGCGCTTATGCCTGAATTTACGAGAATAATTATTATCGATTGAAAGCGAAAGGGCGTGCTGAACGGACGACGATTCCTATAAAGCCGCGTGCGGATTGCCAACAACGCTCGATATTAAATGTGGCTGAACCACATAGTAAATTGCATCAATTACATAATAATATTTCATTTCAAATGTTCTTTTTATTAGAATTTAATAGAATTTAATAATATTTTTAATAGAATTAATGGAATTTAATAACATTAATGATCTTACACACTAAGATCTTGTAAATATATATGCTTTTAGGTGAATACGTGTTATCACTGACATGGTTTCAGTTAAATATGTACGCCATTGGAAATAATGAAATCTTATTGATAATGATAAGAATCACTTAATAGTGATTTTTTAATGAAAAATAAGATAGCGAAAGTATCAGAGTTTTCATTGAAGATGAAAGAAATTTGGTCTATTCCCATTAATATTTGACAAAATTTTTTTTCTGTTTTAATCAGTGACATATTTATTAATTCAGTTGAAAATAATATTTTTAAAATAATATTTTACAATTCTGTTTTTGAGAATCTTCTCGTTTAATTTGTTAAATTTCATTACTTATATTAAGTGATACGATCATTGCAATTCGATTTTCACGCAAACGTATCATTTATTATAATTCCCAAAATCATATTTATAAAGTAAAAATTTTAAAAATCAAGCTGTACTATATTTTTTATTAATTACGAAAATAATGAAATGCTACAATTTAAAGATTATTAAGATGTTTAAAATTCTGAGTGTGTACTTGACATGTAAATTTGAAATTAAAATCGCTTTTTGTACGAATGCGAATGAATCTTGCAGATAATTTAAAATCATGTGCTATTGTAAGATGTTTGTTCGAGAAAAGAAACCTTCATTGACCCATCGGGTAGCGTGAAACAACGAGCTTTTCTTGCGTATCATGCGGCGGCAGCATCTTCTTGGCACCGCTTCAGGCACCTTTTCACACTCAAGCATAGCGGTTGCAGTACGATAATTGTAAATGCACTATTGTGGCATTTAAATCATCAAGAAATTGGCAATATATTTCCATCGTGCATAAAAAGATCTTTGCGCAATTAATAAGTCTTTTTCACTTTTTACAAGAAAATTGCATTGGCGTTTAATTACTAAGTTTTTCTTATAGTTTTGATTTAATTTACAATATATACAACTATATATGATATATACGACTAACATGCATAACCATTATAGAATTTATATTTATGATTCATTAGAATTTAATTTTTATTGCTAATTTTATCCCTTTTAAAGAAAATATAATTACATAATTGCAAAATAATAATTTTAAGAAAATTATGGATTACAAAAGAAGAGACATTTTCATATCCTAATGTTTTCTCATGTTTTAAAACATTTATAAAATTCATACGTATATATGTATTTCAAAACTAGTAAGAAAAATAATAAAATAAACAAGATAAACTGCAAATTCTTTTTTGTTTTTAAGAGAATCTTTTGACCTTTACAAGTAAACAAATCGCATAACGAAACACAATGATATGATTTCAATTTGCTGCTTTTCTATATTTGCGATTTACTGAAACTACACATTGTTTAACGCGTCACGCAAATAAAGGGATTCTATTTCAGTTTTATTGTTCGAATTCAGTTACATGATTTACCATTGTGTAATACGATTCATAGTGAAACAATTATTTTAACAAGATCGTTTAATTTTAAAATAATAAACAAATTAAAAATAAAAGGCTTGCAATATATTTTAAGATATCTCAAAAATAATTTTGCATATTTATATATATTTTTTCTATTATTTATTTGATATTACTTATTTACTTCATTTGGTCCCGTACATCTAAAAAATCCATCAGCCTTTATTTACAAAAGTAAAAGACAAAACTCCATTTCCCTTGCTTTTAAAAAAAGTCGCATGCCATAAAAGAGGCCAAACCCGAGACTTTTATGACGGCTGTTAATTAAGGGGGTTAAATAATCGGAAGTCGAGCAGCTGCTCTTCAAGAAAGAGCGTGCAATGGGTAATGCTCGATCAGGGAATGGAGTGATAGAAAAGAAGCCTAGAACACAAGGATTTTCTCTGATCCTGGAGAAAAGGGAGAAGAAGAGAGCATTGACAAGGAAATGAAGCGTCCTCGAACAGCGCATAAAAAAGGATAGAAAGAAAAAGAGAGAAACACAGAGAAGGAAAATGGAATGGATAGAAGGAAAAAGGAAGAGGAAAGATGAATTGCAGAACGACGTTTTCGCAATGAAAAGGGTTGACTGAGTATAAGTGGGTAGCTGAAAGGAGCAAGAGTCGAAAGAGGAAAGAGAAAGAGGCGGCCGAGGGCGACAAGGACGCTCGGGGCTTGCAAGCTCCGAGTGGGGGAATAAGGAGGCAAAGAGAGAAGCTGGTACGGGCGAAAGGGGATAGATAGGGAGCGAACAGAGGACGGCTTGTGCATTTGAAGGAGTTTAGCTTTTCTCGTATCAGATTTCGTTTCCACGAGTGGCGTCGAGTTGAGAGGTCTGTGTTGGCTCGGAGAAATGACTCGAGAGCCCGAAACCTACCCCCTCCCCCACCGCCCCTCTCTCTCTCTCGCTCTTTTACCGTTGACTTCTTTAGCCGCCCTCTCGCAGGCACCCTACTCTGTGCACGCTGTATCAGTACCGAATGTACCAACGCGTTTCAACATCGTCCTTACTCTGTGGCCAATGGGAGATTTGTTTCGCACGAAAGAGATTCTTCTCCGTTACACGTGATTCGCGCAGATGATTTTCCAGTTTTGCGACAATTTAAGGTACGATTTGCAATTTAGATTCCAATTCTTAGTTCTTCTTTGTTCTCATCTAATTATTCTTAAAATCAATATAATTTTTAAATATATTTTCATATGGATCATTTATTTGTCATATATTTTGACGTCTTATAGTACCAAGAAAAAAATTATGCATAAAATATATATTGATAAAGTTATATAAGCGTAAAATATTATATAAGTTATTTAAAAAATAATTAATTATATTTTAATATCACATCTGTTTTTTATTGTTTCTATAAAATAATACGAAATAATATAACAAAAAATATGTATTATTGATTTCTTTCTATTTACAAAAAAAAAACATTTTAACACTAAAAATTGAATTAATAAATTATATATTGAAAAATATAGCAATCAATCGTTGTTCAATAATCTGTGAGCATCATGTGTATAATTGAAGTGTAAGTGCTCCGAAAATAGTGTCCGAAAAAAAATTTATTCTTGCTCGACGTATAAATCCTCATCTATTTTCATTTATTCCAATGTAAATTTCGTATTTTAACTTGTCAAAATTCCTT